AGTGCTCTGGATTATAAGGCGCTGTCATTGAATGGTCGAACTTTTTTCATAAATAAACCGCACTAGACTTTAAATGAAACACAACAGTTAGATGGGTCAGTCAAACTTTGTTTGGCGTGTTCACGGTGACTCTGGGCTTTTTTCACTTGTGGCATGTAGGGAGGGCACTGGGACTGCTGGATTGTCGGCGTGTTCGCAGTGACTCAGTTGTTCAGTTGTGTCTAGAAGTGGCACATTGCACTCGCTTTTTCAGTTCGTTCCTCTGTTCTGTTCCTCGTCCGCGCGGAGTGATGAGCGTTTCTGCGGGTGTTTTTCGCCTCGCGGTCGCTGTCTGCTCCGTGCCTGTTTGGTGCAGCTTTGTAGTTTACTGAAGTCGTGCTGGGACACCCAAGTGGATTCGTGTATAGGGCGCTCTGGATTGCGGAGCGCGTTTTTTGATGGGGTTGGAGGCTTAAGAGCGCGCCTAATAGTGCGGAAAATACGGTATATCACAAAATGATCTTTATAGTAATATTGGATAACACAATCATCTGCAATGTAAGAGACTGATTATTACACTATCGCAATTACAGTAAGGTTGTCAGAAGTTTACTGTAGTTGGTAAATATGTGAAAATGTAGAGGTAATAAAGAAGTAATAATAATAATGATGTTAAAGCCTCTCAAATGACCACACTGCATTATTCATTCACGCCACACAATAAGATACAACTGTAGCCGCAGCTGTCCTAGGGCAGACTGACGGACCACTGACTACCAACTATCACTCATGCACACACATTTATACTAGGCAAGGTGAGTCAAGTGACTGGCCTAAGGACACAGCAACAATGACAGAACTTAATCCACTGCTCTAATCAATAGTTGCCCCAAGTAGGCAGTTTAGTCGCTGTTAAAGCCACAGTACGTTGCTTTTTAATTAATTTTGGTTATGTTTATTGGTCTTGAAGAGGGCTCCTGCTTGCTTCCATGGAAATATTCCTTTAGCTATAATGTTTCACAGTAGGGATGTAACAATAACCGAAATATTGTGATATCGTATCGCCAATATATCGAATTACAAGTCCCTTTACTTGAATGCATGGTTTTACAGGAGCAACAGGTTATGAACATCAGAAACTACATAGCCCATGATTCATTTCAAAGCAGACAACATGAAGAAATATGTTTTTACTTGAATTCTTGGAAATAATGGAAATAATTCACACTAAAATCTTGTCAAGGTATTTTAAAAGCAAAAAAGTGTCCTATCTACAATTATATCAGCCTTTTCAAAATATCGCAATAAATATTGTACCGTGAAATGTATATTGTGGTAATATTGTACCGTGAGATAGGGAGGATATTGTTACATCCCTGTTTCAAAGCATAAAACGTCTATCTGCAAAGAGAATGTTCTGAAATATGGTTTTGTGTCACCTCTATGAAGTTACATACTGTACCAAGTTTTCATTTTGACAGTTTGAGTAGTAAAGTAAGGCATGCAGACTTCAGTCTAATATCATATTCTTTCTTATGTCCTATGTACATTTTCTACCATTCTCCATGCGATATTCCCTTTAAAATATTGCACAAAAATGTTATTTACATGTTCTCTCAGCTTCACAGTAAAGACATCTCTATGCCTTCCGTAGTAACAAATGTTGTCAAATGTTGCCATAGGTTACCATAGGTTACAAATCAGCATATGTAGAAGTAAGCACATTTGAAAGCCTAATCCCTGGTCTACTCCACACAGTGGCAGAGAGACTGTGGGAGAGAGAGGAGCCTTTCCGATAAATGTGAGGTTTTTTTTTCTCTGTGTGGTTTTTTGGCCGCTGCAGCTCCTTTTGGAGAGGAAGTCTCGGAGGTCACCGAGACCTCCAGCTTCCTTCACCCGTTTCTTTGTGGCTGTGAGCCCAGACCCCCTCCTCTCCGGCGGGTGAGAGGAGAGCGAGGACCCTAAGAGCACCTTTTAGCCCCACCACAGCTCCACAGATCTGCAGCACCAAAATACTTACAAGAGAGAACAGCGGCTAGCGTCTGGCAACCATTTCAGTCCAGTGTGTTCACTCGAATGCCTCTCTTGAATTCAGGAACGCACAAGCCATTAAAGGGGCTGTACCCAATGTTTATCAAATTAATTAATTAAGGTCCGTTGTGTCGGGTCCCTCAAATGCTTTTCTCTATGGAGATGGTATTGCTTTGTCTGGAATGTTTCACTTTCTATCATCATGGAGACCAAACCAGGCCAAGTTACAGGTCAGATCTTTGGAGAAGCAACCCTGCTCACAGTCAGAATGCCTGTTCTTCTGTGTATTTTTGAGCTATAAAACTATAAAATGTAATAAATGTAAGGTAGAGCTATTTACGGTCATACTGTGGGACATTCGAAGCAACAAGAAGGTGACGGACCCTCCACCAGAAAAGTTACACAATACACCTTTAATTAAGATGTGTTTAGCCTCAGTACAGATACAAGCTGAAAGCTGTTCTTAGGATCAAAATCAGAATGCTGTGTACTGCAATTAATTATAAAACTTTTTTATTATTATTTTTTTAATCATCTGAGAACCAGGAAGTATGCTATTAGCCCACAAGTTGTTGTTAGTATTACTGTGACGCTCTGGCCTCTGAAAATTTTGAAAAGGAATACATTTTGTAACAGGTTTGTAAAAGTCAAAATTAGAATTATTGATACATTTTTGTCTGAGTCATGTGTAAGTAGTAAATTACAGACTTTGGACTTATTCTCTTTCTGGTTAAATGCACTTTTAACCAGTTTTATCTTAACATTGTCTTTTGGAAGGTCCTTCACCTGCTTGTTAAATAAATGGTCCACGATAAGGAATTAAATCTATATATTTGTTTGATTGCATGTGTGTTTTTATTGTCATAAATAAAAATGTATTGTACAGATCTGACCTGTGACTAGGCTTGGAGGTGTTACCTGCTTGTCTCCATAGGATCGTTAAGTTTAATGCCATACTGAGGAACAGACGAAGCAATAACATCCTCATGTACTCTCCCCAACCTCAAATTTTTAAGTTTAAAGTACTGTCTTAAAACTATGAAGATATGAAGATTACAACCACTATCCAATATCCAGTCTTTTTATGTGCGCTTAAATGTCACCAACATGTCATATAAACATGATTCAAAACCTGGTCAAACTCACAGAATCGCATCACGGTAGGGCATCTGGCGCAAAATCAATCTGCCAAAGCAAAAGAAGTCATCTGTCGCCCATGCCCCCTCGTAAATAACTGCGGAGTGGGCCCATATTGCACCTTTATAGTGGACAACCAGAATGACTGTGCCGTGGTCTGGTCTCATTGAGCTCCACAGTGCCCCTGTCAGTCCCCTGTCACGCACCTGTCAGATGGATGGTTGTATGGGGCCGACAGCAGCTGGGGCCAGGGGAATTATCAACAGCAGTGTCCTTCAGGGTGAGGGAGGGGCCCCGTCCTAAAACCAACCCCCCACCTCTCTCTCTCTCTCTGTCCCCTCACAGACTAGAGCACACGGACTCTTCTTCTTCTCCTTTAAGCCCGTGATGTGTTTTTATCGTCTTCTTTAATATCTCGTACTGTCACAAACATGGGGTCTAAGATGGATGGACTTTGCTATTGTTATGACCGTGCTGAATGTGATTTACAGTTGGCAGAATTTGAAGTAATCCAATTCTGTTACTGGCAGCAGAAAATAATTAAGGATGCACTGATCCAGCTTTTTCTTTTTTGATACTGATGTCGATAATTTGGTATCCGCCGACACTCAACCAACACCAGTGCATAGACTGAACAAACTGCGTGTAGCAAAAAAATTATCCATGTGTTTTGTAACAACTGAAATTTAAAGAACAAAGATTACGAAGGTATTGTTTTTGGTTGTTCAGTAAATTATCTTCTTACACCGGTTTATAGACCAAAATAATAAGGGACTGAACTGATATCCTGGAATCCAAATCTTGGAATCAAAATGTTGAGTATTGGCGCTGATATCCAATACCAGTATCGTATTGGTGCATCCCGAAAAATAATTGTTCAAGTAGTGTAAAGAAGATGAAATTATTGCAGTATTATTGAAAGTAATGTGCATATTGCTACTTCAGTTGCTACAACATTTCTGTTACTAAACCTTCTGTCACCTCTACTGCTACTGCCAACCCTTAATATTGAGTGTACATTATTTACTTATAGTAGCAAGAAATATTATAATGTTATAAGGTATTAGTTATTCAGAACTAATAGTAGTAAAAGTACTTCTACTATTACTACTACTACTACTACAACCGTTTTAAATTGTGCCTGTAAACACAACTACTAGTGCATAATATTCTCTAAATATGGACATCTGTGGTGGTCTGAGGTTGTTTGAAGTCATTTCCAGGAAGTTTTGAGCAATTTCAAAAATTTGGTCAAATTTAAGCCGTAAAATCTCATATTTTGTCAAGTCAGGTTTTGGCCCCAAACTACCTTAAAATGTCAAATCATGCTTTAATATGTACATCTGGGGTGATCTGAGGTTGTTCGGAGATGTTTCCAGAAAGGTTTTTGCAATTTCAAAATTTTTTTAAATTTGAGCCGAAATTGACATAAAATCACATTTTTCGTCATGTCAGGCTTTGGCCCTAAACTACCTTCAAATGACAAAAAATGCTTTAATATGGACATCTGGGGTGGTCTGATGTTGTTTGGAGACATTTACAGCTAGTCACCGGTACACTGCATGACTTTTCTTGTGAAGTGTTCATCACATGCTTGTCTCCGTGGAGATGTTAGTGGTTTGCCTGGAATGTTACACAGTATGGCATTATGACATATATTTCATTATGGTTGGTTTTGCTCAAATATATGTGGGAAAACATGCATTTCTTCTGTCAGCAGGGTCCCCTTTCCACAGACTTGACCTGTAACTTGGCCTGGTGGTGTTACTGCTTGTCTCCATAGATTGTATCCATAGAAGTTAGTCTCTCGAGTCTATTCCATTTATTATTTTAACTGTCTTTTGTGTTTGCAGGTGGGAGACCAAATGAAGCTACTCCACAACTGTTGGTCCGAGCTCCTGGTTTTGGATCACATTTTCCGACAAGTGCAACACGCAAAGGAAGACAGTATCCTGCTGGTCACGGGCCAGGAGGTAAATGATGTACTCCCCCACACTCCCCTCCCATAGACACAATGCACACTGGAGCTCATTCATCTGAGCGCCATTTAAAACCTCTGTGTGCAAATATGAGATATGATTAAAGTATTTAATCCCAAAATGTCACTTATTGGATAACATTGTAGGGGCCTATCTAGTTGCTTCGGGTTAGGACCATAAACAGTGATATTGTTTATCACAATAAAAGGAGTAGATAGATTTTGTAAAAACATGATAATCACCAAATAACAAAGACAATGTCCACTATACCACCACACTATGTAACTTTTGAACAGAGAAAAATCCTGCATACAGTGAATTTTTTTGGACATAAATGACGTTTCGGCCCTAGGCTTTCATCAGGCAAAAAATAGACTACAATTAAAGAATGTTTTCATTATGGATGTGTTTATTGCACTGAAAAACATGCATGCTCACTCTGAGTGGACTTGCATCTACACTAACCTGACTCTTATTTAGCCTGGAGGAGGGCCTCCTCCTGTTGTTTCCATGGTAATGTTGATCCTTTGGATATAATATTCCACAGTAGGCTTAAAACTTATCTCCTCAGGGAATGTATGATTATGTAAGTGTGGTTTTAACTTACTTCCTACACATATTTTTTTAACATACTACACATAAATACTATCACTTGAAAGTAATGATTATTAATATTCATGACAATTTTTTTAAGCGTCAACATTTTAATAATTATGAAATGGCCTGAACATTTTTGCAATGATAAATGTAACATGAAATTTCAGTTACATCATATGTGCTCCCTAGCTTTCTCATTATTCTTATTAAAATGTATGAGCAATATCTTCAGTGGTTTTTCACAAAGAGCAGCTTTTACAATATGTTTTGAGTAAAATTAAAATGGGATTTCCTAAACTCGAAGAAATAAAAAGGCCCTTTATGTTGTCAAAATGCAAAAATTGTTCACTGGAAATAATTTCTAATACTTTTTGTGGTAACAGTCACAAGATACTTACTCATGTGGGTAAACAGACATACATACATGCTGACTTATTCTATGTATTATATTGTTATTAAATGTACATTATTGGCTGTCAATATCTTGTGTGGCCTGTGTGAACATATTGACCTTTAGTCCTATTTAAATGGTGATAAGATGGTCATACTTCTATAGAGTTTTTCTACCATTATCAGAAGATGCATTTTGTACACATATACCGGGTCATGCTGTAAAGTTATTCTCTCATCATGAACAGACTCATGTTTCATTTCAATTATGCATAATATAAAACACACAATGAAAAATACAATTGCCAAGCTGTTTATATGAGGTCAAATTCATACTTCACAACTTTTAAATGGTTGTCAATGTTATATAAGCTCTTCAGGTGGTTCAGTGATGTTAGGGGTCAGGAAAGGTCAAGGTTGTTTCCATGGTGATGTAGAATAACCTGACCGTAAATCTGTGGTTATATTCAACAAGGGCAAAGGCTACACCATGGTAACTCTTAGTAGCAAGACAGCTTCATGCTTATAAGGCTTTTATACTGAGAATGTGTGGGGTAGTTTTATATCCCTTACAAAGTCCTTAAAATGAAAATATATGTTATATATGTTAACACTTACACTTTTAATAGCCTGTTAGGACTTGTTCCTGATTTTTTATATACCATGCATTGTATAGTAGTCCTGCTAAATAAGAAAAAAATTGAGACAAATATTATAGATTCATTTTATATAGCATATCACCTGTTTTCGTCCAATCATTGGAAAAAAAAACCTCCATGACACTATCCATAGACAAGGGTGTCCCAAAAAATGTTACAATAATTTTGGCAATTCTTGTTGAAATAATCTAAAATGTTCACAGAATGTAAAGAAACGGATAACAATTTTATATTTAATGTTTTATTTTTGTTGTGTTTTCAGGTTGAGCAATGCCATTCACTCCCAAAGTCATTTTGTATCTTGGAATCTGCTTGCACACATAATCAACATCAGAATAGAAGGTCGAGCAAATTTGTGAAAAATTCTTGTGAAGCCCCAAGAAGTCCAGAAGGAGAACAAGTTTGGAAACCCAGATTCCTTGAATAATGGTTTGGCGTACCAGATCCGCTACCCCTGAATAAGCAGTCCTCCTCTTAAAATTTTTGGTACCAAGTCCAAATTTATTTGCCAGTTGGTGAAATTTTTCCAAATTTTGCACTGAAGGCACACTGCATAGTCTTGGGTGACTGTGTGCGATCAGATTCCAAAACGCAAAATAACTTCTCTGTGGGAGTGAACAGAAATAAAACATTAAATATAAAATCTTGATCTGTTTCTACAAATTTTGTGAAAATTTGAGGCTACTTCAACAAGAATTTCCGAAATTACTGTCCTGCGAAATGATGTCAGATTTTCTGGGACACCCTCTATATAAACGGACATAGCAAACGAGCTTGCCGTGTGTTCCAAATAGGAAGTTCACATGCGGGCTCATCCGGCTCCTACTGACCCTGGCTCCCGTTGATTTACATCAGAATATTGTGGCCCCTCCTTCTGTAACTGCTATCTCTCTACATGACCCTGCTGTTTTTATTTCGCTTTTTTGTCTGAAAAAAATCATGTTCCTAATACAGACCTGACTCCAAATTCACTTCTTTTAATGCTACAATTGTGAGTGAAGCTGAACTATATGGGTCATGTCACGCTCACTTAGTCGTTTTTTTTTTTTTTTTTTTTTATACAGTCAATGACACTATCCAATCCCTAACTCCCGATTCTCTGTCATGGTGTATTTTTAAGAGTGAACAATGAAGAAACAACTGCATTATACAAGCCTAGACAGTTGTTTGTGTATCATGATGCAGTATGTTCCTGACTCATGGTTTTAAAGGTCTAAAGTGTAGTTATAAAGTGTATAATAAGTGTACTATTAATCAGTTCACTTCAGAAAACCTTACTTCCACATTATTTATTATTATATACATTGAAAGGCCCATATGACGCCATTTTCTGATTTATGTTATAATGTTCCTGAGTTGTGTTTTGTACGGAAGCTGAGAGGGGTCACAACAAAAGCAAACGCCGCAACAAATACAAATGCGACAACACAACAAAAAGCCACAACAAACCAAAAAAAGCCACAACACACCAAAAAAAGCCACAACGGAAATGACGGCGGGACTCTATTTTAATGCAAACGCCGCAACAAATACAAACGCCACAACACAAACACAAATGCCGCAACACATTAAAAAGCCACAACACTTCAAAAAGCCACAACGGAAGTGACCGCGGGACTCTATTCCGACGGACCGATCAATCGGCAAGTGAAGAAGAACTACAACGTGAAACGAATAATGATAAAACAATAAATTACTTTTACTTACGTTTCCAACTTCTCCGTTCCTTTACTTTTCACGTTGTAGTTCTTCTTCTTCACTTGCCTCTCTATCGGTCCGTCGGAAAATAGAATACCGCAGTCACTTCCGTTGTGGCTTTTTGATGTGTTGTGGCTTTTTAAAGTGTTGCAGCTTTTTAATGTGTTGCGGCATTTGCGTTTGTGTTGTGGCATTTGTATTTTTTGCGGCGTTTGCGTTTGTTGTGACCCCTCTCGACTTCCGTAGTTTTGTTTCATTCACGCGTTTAACACACGAACCCTGCGTATTTAGGCTGCGTTCTTCTCTCGAACACTCCACCCTGTGATGTGATGTGATTATTCAGGTAGTGCTCCACTGTGTTTCTAAACTCCATACACTTTCACTAGACAATTTCAGTCCTGGAATCGCCCATCAGTGCTAAACAAAATGTAAAAAGTAGTCGTTAAATTGAGAACTACCGCTTCATGACATCACAAGGTGGAACAGAGCAGAGTCAATTTTGTGTAATATATTTATTCATTTTTACCTCATAGTATCTGACTCGTGACTGGTGCGTGTGCTTCCAGGTGGAGCTGTCGTCCCTCTTGTCCCAGGCAGAGGCCACCCTGAGCAGCCTGGTGCAGAGGGGGCAGGAGCTGGCCGCGAGACTCAGGGCTCTACAGGTGGACCGCAGGGAGATCGCCTGTCTCAAGTTCATGCTGCTCTTCAACCCCAGTGAGTATGCGCTTTAACTACTCTGGACTGGTTTTTAAGCTATAACATGAATCAGATTTGAGATCAAGATATAGTCATTTCTAATCGTCAATGATCAGCTTGTGTTTTAACGGCGATATAACTGAAAGGTGCATTGTGTCACTTTTTTGGTGGAGGGTCCGTCAAATGCTTGTCTCTGTGGAGTTATTGCTTTGTCTGGAATGTTTCACAGTATGGAATTAAACCTTTCTATCTTCAACGAACCAAACCAAATAAAGTTACAGGTCAGATCTGTGGAGAGGCAACACAACTCACAGTCAGAATGCCTGTTTTATTCTTGAGCTGTAAAACCTGTAATTTAATAAATGTAATGTAAAACTGTTTAATCTCATACTGTGGAACATTTCAGGCAAAGCAATGACACACCAACCAAAAACAAACAGACCCCCTATACTTTTAAATTAAATGATATCTTCTGTATTGTTTATGTAGAAGAAATTCAAATTGAAAAAAGTAGGCATGGGGCAAAATCTCGAGAGACAAAATTTCCACAAATTATGCACACAAGAGAAAAATTATCTCATGAAATTTTTTGTTCAGGTTTTTAGTTTTGGATTAGGCAAAAACATGGGTTAAGTGCTGATGGATTACACCTCTTGAGACACTGTATAGTCCCAAAAAACAGCACTACCATGACAACAACAATAGAAAATAAAATTAAAAAACAATTGAAAGGCCAGTAAACAATGTCGTTTTGTCTCATTCTCGTTGACCTAATCTCGTGTTTAGTCTCGTTTGGTGGAAATTGTGTCTTGAAAGCCATTTTTAATCTGACAAGCTCAAACCAAATTAAAAATCATTATCAACCAGCATGATTTTTTCATACAATTTCAAAAACAGAAGTCGATTTAATTTGTGATCATGCACAAAACATACATTTTTACATCCATTTTCAGTCACTCCATTAAATGTAGTGTCTACATTCATTTAATATAAGCAATTTCATAAAATGGTTATGAAAGTGAATAACAAATGTGCTGGTGTCACTCTTGATGATAATAAAATGGAGCAGACTGAAACAAATGTGACTCAAACACTCAATTAGAGACTGAGATGTCTTGCTCAATGACATAATAGCAGTTTATGTTCCCTACAAGACGTGAATCCCAACCTCTCAGCTCAAATTGCTACTCTTTATTTGTACCATGATCACAAATAATAATAAAAGCAACAATGGCTAACTGTTTTATGCCAGATGCCCTCCCTGCTCATTGGATAATAGCCGTTGCGGGGCAAATGTTACTCTTAAACGAGGCAGAACCGCTGTGTTGAAATCAGAAATGAGCTCTTCTTTTCTGTCATACTGATGCTACCTCCCGCCCGTGAATAGCTACAGACATTTCCGAGTCCATTTATCTATAAGGTTACAAGTGTTTTCAAACGGTCCCTCTTTCTCCTCTCCAATAAATCCACTTAATTAAATTTCTAGGGTTGACAAAAGCCAACCTTAACAAAGCCCTCCTCCTCCCATTGTCCACTAATGGCATTCAAAGGAGTCGTAATGGAGGGCTGGATGCACATTCAGGCACTGGGTTGTACAGATGGAGCAGACAGCAGACTTTGCCCATGTATTTCTCACAAGTGTTTGCTGTTTAGTGGTGCGGGGAGAGGAACAAAGCACTTCTGAATGGGGACGGCACTTGTGGAGGTAGAAAATATTTGCGTCTGTCTGCTGCCTGGGCGCATCCTCACAGTCAGGTCTGTGGCAGGGGTAATTTAATTGCCCTCGCGAAGCCTGAAAAGATGGTTCAGAACGCCGATTCAGAGCAGTTAATTACTCTGCGTGAATGAATAGATGCTCCAACATGGCTCTGCTGCACCGGAGCTGAATGCGAGGCTCGTATATTGTCTCACCTGGAGATATACACAGATACACAAAGTAGTAGAAATACATAGATAGAATAGCGTGTAGTACTTCGAGCGGCAAATTCTTATATATTTGTTTTCTATGGAATGAGATCACAGGAAATGTGCCCACTCATGTCCATCGCGAGTTGTTGCATGCGTTTTCAATAGGCTGATATGGACTTTGCTTTTACATTGTGAATTGGTTTTTCGTGATTCTTGTCGTTGCACAAAGCACATGGTAACACGGATGGGACTCTTTGTATTTGACATGTTTTTTTTTTTTTTATTTAAGTGAATTTAAGTAAAAATACTGTGCATCCTCAAATACTAAAATTAAATCAATTAATTAAATTTTAACACTGAAACTTAAAATGACGCGTTTTTAGCTTCCAAATCTAAGGCTGCACTCTAGGTGTGTGATAAGGTGTATGCTCTGTCATCAGTGATCACGGTTCATGGTCTTTGGTGCATGGGTCTGGATCTCACTGGGCTTATCTTATTTAGTAGTGGCAAAATAAGTAGTTGCCCAATAAAGTATAGTTCCCTCTTTATGTGGAGGCCTAATATTCTTTAAATTACTACCTTAAAGAAACCAGTCCAGTCCAAAGCCTGGGAACAGTGAACAGGTTTAGTGAGAGTGAGTATAACTATTGATGCTTTTGCAGTAAGATCTCTGGGAGTGTCATACTAACTATAGACACTGCTTTTAGACTTTAAGTTGGAAATGCAACAGCTGATCTGATTTGTGCTGTTAAACAAGTCCCTCTCTAATAACATTACAATCACAAACTAGCTAGCATTAGTCAGAAACAGTTTTTCAGTTAGGCTACGTACAGACTGCAGCCTGAAGTGACCCAAATCAGATTTTTTTGCCCCTGTGTGACCTATATCTGATCTTTTAATGACAGTCTGAATGACACAGATCCAATTTTTTGTAAATGCGACTCAGGTCACTTGGATATGTGCTCCTAAAACCAACACATATCTGATCTTTTTACATGCGACTTCAGTTTGAATGGCCAGGTCGCTTTCATCCCACCTACATGTCACAAATGTACACAAACATTCTTCTCATTACAAAAATTGTGTCTGAACTCCGTGTTAGTGAAGCATTGAAGCACATAGCAGTGCCACCACTCTTGGCTGGGACTCTGCATCCACACGTTCTTTTCTACGGACGTCGCTGCCACTGCCCCACAAAACACCACAGCCAAAAACCTCGTCCTTCTCCTTCTCAATCTCTTCCTTAAAACAAATAAGCTGTACATGTTCTGGCTCCGGTACAACAGCAACTTTAAATCTCCAGGTGCTCAATGCCGTGTCCATGTTTAGGCGACTTACGCAAACGTGTCCTCCAATGCACATGCTTGACACTTTCGGGGCTTTTAAAGTTCACACTGGAGATCAAATACAAGTCGCATTTAATCGGAAATGTGAACAACTGAGCATTAAGTCCTGCAGTCTGAATGTAGCTTTCGCTTTCACCTTTCTGTTGAACATCAAACACCATTTTAAGTCTATTTTGTGTTTTTTCCTGAACATTCAGCTCTAGACACACATGCAGAACACCCCCAGCATATAGTATTATATATTATGTTATAGAAAGGTTATCAGGCATAGAAATCACACCTCGTCACAGTGCAGTTTGCTTTGATTGAAAAATAAAATTGCTTGATATAGTGTACCTATTAAAGTCTGCACTGTGTCACATTTCAAGTGGAGGGTTTGCCAGCTGCTTGTCTCCATGGAAATGTTATTGCTTTGGGTAGAATATTCCACAGTATAGATTAAATCACAAATCTATCGCAGGTCACAGCACTACACTACATTACAGTCCAGATCTATGGAGAATCGCCCCCATTCAAAGAAGGAATTATTGTATTTTTGAGAAATAGAAACACCCGTAATGAATAAATGTTAGATGGAAATATTTTACGTCACACCATGGAACAGTCTAGGCAAAACGATACCATCTCCATGGAGACAAGTAGATAGCGGACCCTCCACCAGATAAGTTGCACCTCTAACATCTTTAACACCCTCCACCTGAAAAGTCGCGCAACACCTCTAACAACACCTCTGTTTCTCTCTCCGTAGACGTGAAGCTGTTGGAGAACCAGGCATTCGTGGAGGGCGTTCAGGAGCAGGTGAACGGGGCTCTGCTGGAGTACACGGTGTCTTCGTACCCTCAGTTCCAGGAGAAGTTCAGTCAACTCCTGCTGCGACTGCCGGAGCTGCGGGCCCTCAGCACCCAGGCGGAGGACTACCTGTGTTATATGCACCTGAACGGAGAGGTGCCCTGTAACAACCTGCTGATCGAGATGCTGCACGCTAAGAGGGCGTGTGTGTGAGGGACCTGAGAGGGACCGGTGTGTACAAGCGCCTATTCACCATATTCCAGAAGTTGCCGCGGGCGCCGCCATCGTCATCCGGGTTGTGTTGTTTTGCATGGGGCTGCCGCTCTGCCGATCTTGAGCAAATACGTTCCATTACGGACTGCGAAGCCATTTAAAGTGGGACTAAACACCTAAAATCCGCCCAAAACCACATTTCAAATAAAGCTGCTGAATTGGGCAGTACCTGGAGGACTAAGAGAGAGAGGAAAAGAGAGAAGAGGGTGAGGGGGGAGGAGAAGCGAGGGCTGGACAAATGAGGAACAGTGTGATCGCTCGAACAGGTATCCACATTTTAAACTCCGCCCCCTGCAGTCAATGTAATCATAGCAGTCACCAACTACTTAAAATTGCAATGGCCACTGGAGTCAAGACACACCCATTTTTATACATTTGTAACCACAAAGCTGCAAATTTACCTAGTTTGCACAAAAAAATTTAAAAAACACTAGGCATATATAGCTTTAGTAGCATAAAAAGTCGAAGCTTCCCACAGAATCGGTGCAGTTTTCCATCAGTTTTGACTTGTTAGTGCAAATGAACATCAAATCAACTTCACGTATCATATTTAAGCAGCGAACGTTTTCTAAAATTTTCCATCGAAAATTGTTTCGTAGCGTTTAAAGGTGGGCGTGGCGGAATACAGGTTAATACAATACACTTAAGGTGTTGCGTCTACGTCACAAAACCACGTGACTTGGTGTTTGTGCCGCCATATTGGAGGTCAAACTCCTTCTGGACCAACGTGTAGTATTTGTGTGTGATGAAATTTGAATCAAATAACAATGGTTTTGACCTGTGTTGCTATTGGATGTTCTGTCATCCAATGTATCTGCTAAAGAAGGAGGCCAAAGTATATCTTTCTATCAGATCCTGTCTAATAAAGATCGCGGACATATAAAGAGAAAGATGGGAGCTCACTGAGTACAGCCGTCTGCACAGTCAACATTTCATTTCTGGTTTACACTAAATGATTTGATATATACCAAAAGTTTTTTTTTTTCATAGGTATGAAGAATGATAACCCACTTTCACCAAATTACGTCCCATTATTATTCACGTACACACCATCGCCAGTGAAAGTCAAAGCAAAACGTTCACTTATTTCCTATGAAAGAAGATGTAACATGAAAAAACAGATGCTGGATGGCACAGGTTTGAGCGTTGGTTAAACTAATAATCTATTCCACAACCCAGGAGGACGACTTTAGCTTTATAACTTTCTAATGACAGCTGAACTAACAAGCTTGCAATTTTGGACAGTTTTATGTCGTTTGCGCTGTTTAAAGCCGCCATGATTATATTGTAAACTGAATAACACCATCCGGATCAACCCCAGTCTTGACCTCCAGTATGGCTGCCAAAACATTAAATCACATCACTGCCACTTCACACGCACATCCTCAATCCCACTCATCCGTGAGGTGTGCGCTCACTAAAGGAATTTCACTTTGGAATGATAAAGCTCCATCCATAATCATCGCAATGCTTTCGGTCGATCACCTGCCAAGCTACAGAGGCGTGAACTTTTGAAATAAAAAAGTAAAAACGAAACTGGATTTTATACGAAAATGCTCCAAATACCTGTACAGTTACATGATGTTTTTAGAGGTAAATTTCATGTGAATTTCGTCGTCCGAGACCACACAGAACTTTGTACACAGTGCCACATTAGAGACGCATCTGTCGCTGAGAGAGCCTCATTTTACACCAAAGCCTGTATGTTTAGTTTTTTTAAAAAGCAACTCATGTTTGAATTGTTTTTTATGTTTTATTCATGATTAGTTTGCAGGAGGACATTTGGTCTTTCAGTTATACAAAAGCTTACACAGTCTACAATCTTTTAAAAATGTATTTGTTTTGGGGATATGTCAAAATCAAGGTCTGAAAACTCAATTAAAAGTAGAATATTCAATTTTCTGTACTGTAATTTCCAATTTTGTCATAAGTGACATTATCTTTTTTCTTTATTTTAATTTCACAAGATTTCAAAAAGTTCAAAATTGTACCTGGACAATCTTAGAATATAGAAGCACTATAAAATATTATATAGAATTGAATTATTATTATTTATGAGTTAAGTTAGCTTCCTGAAGATGCTTGTTGGTTGAGCACTTTGTTAAATGTCTTTCGAGCTTCATACTTTTTGGAAAACTGATGCAACTTTATGATTCCAAGGTCGCTTTGGTTGATTGTTTATCCTGACCATCCTCAGAGCAGAAGTGTCCGGCACTGCTTTAACCTCGGCACTTGTTTTGAACTTCAGATTTGGATGATAAAGTATTATTACGAGTGACTGTTGGTGTCAGTATTACCAGATTGTAATTTATTTGTTTATGCCAAGACCAGTAAAGATGGAGGTCAGACCTGCGCACTTCTAGTCCAAGACAATGTAACTTCTTGAAAAATTTGTGACTGGTGACTGTGCATTGTGATTCAAATGAAAAGGACTGAGGCTGGGCCATTTCCCACTACTCGCCCTTCGCATCATTTACTGAACATAGACTGTTTTACATATTTGTATCTTTTTTAAGGTTATATTTTGTTTTTGTGCAAAGATCCAAACCAGCTTAAATGGCGTTAAAGCTGATACACAAATACACACGAGCAAACAGGAACTCAAATTGTTACTGCTTATGGGGGGAAGTCTGACATTTTAAAAAGTAAAGTCAAGTAAATTGGTATTACTTTTATTTTTAAAAACTTAAACTGAAACTACTTTTTTTTTTTTTTTTTTCAAATTTTGGGTTTTGTGTGTTGCTCAGGTTACATCAAAGTTAGACTATTTCATGGTGTTTATTCTTAGAAAGAGAAAAATTTACACCAGATCATCAAAGTTTTACATCAGCTCTGCTCTGTTTTCTCATATAAAAAAGGGCACTTTTTCAGCAGAACTTTTTTTTTTTTTTTTTTTTTAATTGGGTCGTTTTGCAGCACTACAAAACAAAAATAAAACAAAGACCACAAACCCCATGGATCATGACAGAAAGAGCCCAAGCTCAAGCAAAAGTACCAAACCCTATTAACAGGGTATCCCCAGGTTTGACTACTCCAAATTTAAGACTTTTTAAAGACATTTTTAACACCACTTATTGGGCGAAATTATCTGTTTTATAAATTCCTCTTATAAAAAAATTTTATTATAAATCTCTTTATACTCATTATAGTTGAATACTTGAAATGCAAATAACTTAACTTTCTAATAGACAAGTAATTGTTGCACTACTCAAGTAACGACATTTGAGCATTCGTGAGTTTTCACCTGGCCTGTTCTAATTAATGAATTTCAGCTTTAAAAAAAAAAACACTATTTATATATGAAAATGAGCTCACTTTTCTGGTTCGCCATGATCCATTAGGGTAGGCTCATTGTGGTTCTTGTTTTATTTTTGTTTGTAGTGCTGCAAAAACGACCCAATAAAAAAAAAAAAAAAAAAAAGTTCTGCTGAAAAAGTGCCCTTTTTTATATGAGAAAACAGAGCAGAGCTGATGTAAAACTTTGATGATCTTGTGTAATTTTTCTCTTTCTAAGAATAAACACCATGAAATAGTCTAACTTTTATGTACCTGAGCAACAACAAAACCCAAATTTGAAAAAAAAAAAAAAAAACAGTAGTTTAAGTTTAAGTAGTTTTAAAGTACAACCAAATAAATGAGTCAGGAGTGTCAGGCAATAGTAACAATTTGAGTTCCTGTTTGCCTCGTGTGTATTGGTATCAGCTTTAACGCCATTAAGCTGTTTTGGATCTTTGCACAAAAAAAAAAATTTAAAAAAGATACAAATATGTAAAACAGTCCATGTTCAGTAAATGAGCGAAGGCGGTAGTGAAATGGCCAGCCTCAGTCTTTTCATTTGAATCACAATGCAATCACCAGTCACAAAGTTTTCAAGAAGTTACATTGTCTTGGACTAGAAGTCGCAGGTCTGACCTCCATCTTACTGGTCTTGGCATAAACAAATAAATTACATCTGGTAATACTGACACAAAAGTCAGTCGTAATAATACTTTATCATCCAAACTGAAATTCAAAAGAAGTGCCCAGGTTAGCCGTGCCGGCACTTCTGCTCTGAGGATGGTCAGGATAACAATCAACCAGAGCGACCTTGGAATCATAAAGTTGCATCAGTTTCCAAAAAGTATGAAGCTCGAAAGACATTAACAAAGTGCTCACCAACAAGACTCAGGAGCTAATTTAACTAGAATAAATAATAATTCATTCTATATAATATTTTATAGTGCTTATATTCTAAGATTGTCCAGGTACAATTTTGAACTTTTTAAATCTTGTGAAATTAAAATAAAGAAAAAAGATATGTCACTTATGACAAAATTGGAAATTACAGTACAGAAAATTGAATATTCTACTTTTTAATTGATTTTTCAAAATCTCTCTTGATTTTGACATATACGGCCAAACAAATCTACATTTTTTTAAAATGTGTCATGTTGTAATGCTTAAGACCTATATTGTTTTAAGACTTTTAAGACCCCGCTATAAACTGGACATAAGACCAACATGTTCCTCCTCGCCTAAGAACTATCATGGTATAAAACATAAAAAACATATTTCAAACTAACTCGTGTGAATTTTTTTAAAATAAAACTAAATAACAGGCTTTCGGACTGAATATCCAGTGTAGAATGGAGACTCTACCTACAGCGACAAGATGCGGTCTTCTAATGTGGACACTGCGTGTTACTAAGTTCTCACTGCTTGGTCTCGCTTTCACTTACGATGAAATTCAATGAAAGTGTGTAACTCTAAAAAATCATGTAAACTGTACAGTGTTAATTCTTGGAGCCTTGTTCGTAATTAAAATAATTCAGTCGTTATTTACTCCCGCAGACAAAAGTTTTTATATTCTCAAAAAGTGTCAACGCTTCGTGCTGCTAGGCTTGCAGAGGTGACAGACATGCGTGATCCTGGAAAAGCATTCGATCGATTATGGATGGTAG